CCCCCTATCTGGTTTTTTTGTTTTTTTTTTTTTTTTTTTTTTTTTTTTTGCGCTGTAAAAGAAGCATTTCTTGATTTAATAGCCTTTCTTTGACAGAATTCAATTTGTCATTTTTTTAGAACATGAAACATGTATCAACCTGCTGGAAGCATTCAGCAAAGCGTGAGCATCAAAATAACTCATCATGTCATTAGTGTACAGTACTTGATTCCATAAAATGCTGCTATCAATAGTATATCCTTTCAAAAATTGAATTCGACAGTGCTGTGCATTTTTCGACATTTTTAATTGATAAGACAATCGAATGCAGGAGTTTTACATAAACGCGTCGGAATCCAAATTAATTCTAGTGGAATCGTCGAATCTCTCTGTTTTTGAAATTCAGAAAATACTGTATACTGTACTTTCTACAAAATATACTGTAAGCATTGTGGAGAATGCAGAAATGATTATATTTTGATGAACACTTACAAAATAAGCGTTCTTCCGTTTCATCTTCCCTTTAAAATCATTTGATTTTTCTTTTGTTGAGATGTACTGTCTACATCTTAAAATTCTGCAATACATGAAAATGAAAAGCAGAGATTTTTATGATTTCAGCGTTGTCAAATCTGAGACATTTTCATTACGGCAATTTTTCTAGAATTTAAGTACAGTATTTGGCAGCAATAATTGCTCTATTCACAGATTCGTCCAACATCTGAATTTGATGTCACGTAAATACTGTTTTAAACGGTTATTTGTTGGTTTCATGCTAAAATTCCTCGGTATACGGTAGTTAGTTTTCGTTGTATTTTTTTTCACCCATAGATCAAGATAAATTTTAAAATTCAGGAAAGAATTGTCTGATATTGCTCAGCGAACGTTACTTCCGTCAATATTCATTGAACAAGATCTCCTAAAAAAAATGAGAAACATTGTTGCAGAAAAAAACTTGGATATGAGCTTTTATACTGCGTCCAAGTCTCAGAGTAATTCTCACTATTCTGGATTATAATTTTTCTTGTGCGTATACTCACGGAGCCATGCGAGGAAAAATGACGTCTTTGGTGAGATCTCCAGGCCCACATCCGATGTCCAGGACTCGGTCGTAAGGCCGGAAGTGCAAATGATTGCCGAAATTCTCAAACACCCACCGAAAGTCCTGCGCCTGCGGCTGCGACACCTGCTTGTACAGTTCCGGGTTGTCCATGCCGATCCGCGAGTCTGACACGTCTGTGGACCCCATCACCAGATTATGTCGTCAAATTTTGCAATTACCAAAAGCGAGAAAAAAAGATATTGCTCTGCTCGAGAAGTTGAAAGAAAAAATGGGATGCACTTCTTGATATAGCGACTGCGATTTTGGGACGAATGAAGGAGAATGAACGTTTCCAGGAGCAATTTACAGCAGCTTCATTCCCAGCAGGAGATGGACTCATTTCCAAGGCTGAGGAACTCAAAATGACGAAGGGGCATCAGAAAATTCTGCTAAATTTAATCTATAGTTCAATTTTGAATATCGCTTTTAAATATTTTTTTTCCAATTCTGAGATTCTGAAATTTATTTCAGGAGCATTTTTTGCCTCTGAGGATTACCAATGCCTTTGCAATTGCTTGACATCATCAGAAGATCAATAAAAAAATACAAGTAATTAGCGAATTGACAACAGAAAAGCCAAATAAAATGTCAGAAAGACACAAGCAAAAAACAGCACGCATATTGAGGCATTGTCTCAAAATATGCTAGGTCGTACGTCAAGCTTGGGTGTCTGGGTTAAATTATATTGAAACGTTTGTAAACCCTTCTAAAGTTTTGTTCTTTTAGGATGTTCTCAAACACAACACGTCCCTCTGCGATTTTTTTTTTATTGAAAATACTTTGAATCGCAGGCAGGCTTTTTTAAATTTCGATGATTGATGCTTTCTCGATCCAAAAAAAAAACCCTTACATATACCAGTACTGTATTAAGAAAAGAACATACAGTATTTCTGTTTTGAATAAACAAGGGCTAGCAGGATGTCTTCCATGCTAGGTTTCTATGACGCAATTTTCTGTAGCCCCTTCAACACAATAGAAAATCGGAGACTGGATGGAAAGTATTCCAATGCTATTTCCGCTATTGTGTGGTCGACACAATATGGAAGCAGATTTTATTTCCAGCTGCACAATCAAGGAAGGGTGTCCCTGCGTCAGTAAATTGCAAACTTTCTCCTTCAAAACATCAAATACTCTGTTATAAGAAAGAAGGAAACCAACTCAGTGGTTCGCATCATTGAAATGAGGACGATCTTGAACAGATAGATAAGTCGGATTTTAGATCATCCTTCACTCCAAGAGCTGCTTCTTTTGAGTCAGGGTCGCATAAATTCTGGTAAATGGTTGCTTTGCTCAGAAAGCTTCCTCACAATGCCGTTCAACACTGGAGGTACATTTCGATTGAAATGTTCCCAGCTTTTCCGATGTTTTCGGAAAATATTTTTGGCTTCTTGCACTTTCGTACTCATCACGATACTTTGAAAAATTCAAGAGAAAATATTCACGAATGACGCTTGAATCAGAGGATTAGTATGTCCTGAGTGTCTTTTTTAGTTTAACGTCGACGGGTCTAACAAAATTACTTCGAATATAAATTGAAATGGCATATGATTGAGCTGGGAAAACATTTTTTCAGCAGGAGCATACTTCGAGCAAGAAAATAAATTAGCCCGCAAAGAGGGCCAATTTATTCAAATTTTTTTCAACTTTTTGTCAAAAATACGTCAACATGCCTTACAGCTTTCTACTCGTTGCTCAAATGAAATCAACATTGCATTTTTACCACGGGTCGCTTACAGGTCTTTCAAAGTATTTCCGTCATTTCCAGTATCATTATTCATCATTTTCACCATCACAGCCGCCACTTGGGATGAGAATGTGGCGGCTGCTAATACAAATGGCGGAATAAATGATCAATTGATGGCGGGAACTACTCTTGGAATCATAAAGGCAAGTCAATTTCAAGAATTCTGAAGGGAAAGCCAACCAAAAAATTGCCTTGAATGTTGGCCATCGTCATTACTTCAATATGTCCTCATCATTGAAGGAGAACTGACAAAAAAACCTGTGATAAATCTTATTTTTAGATCTCAAATCTGTAGTACAGGAGGTACCTTGAAATTCGACTCTAATTCATTGCCAAAATAGGATCAACTTGAAAATTGGCCAAATTTCAAAACACTCCATCAAAATTGAAGTATAAGTACAAAAATATGGGGGGAAATGAAAAAAGCTGGTCAAATTGCGGGGCAAGGGTCGAATTTCAAGTCAACCTTCATTCAACTTATTCATTAAACAACCTGAAAATTTGACTCTCGAATTGCAGGACTATTATTTCAAGGTACCACCTGTATACATCAAATTTTAACAATATTGACTGAGAACAGAACAGATTTGTTGCATTTTTCATCTCCTTGAAAGACATTTTCTATTTGAAAGTTGATTAAAGTCTTTTTGCAGGGGAACGAAGGGTGCTGAAAGGAGAATTGCATATTTTCTATTCAGCCCCCCTTGGGGTTGGGGGGGGGGGGGGGGGGGGGGACTTTGGGTTTTGGGACATCATTAGACACGGTTGTAAAACAATTTTACATCAGTGAACAGGGGTAATTTCACCGGGGATTTTCCACCGGTGTCACTTCTCAACAACTTTATTAGTGCCATGGATGTTTTGACGACTTGTTTTGGTGCGCCAATGTCTGTTAATTTGCTGTTCCTTGAGTGAAATTGATCTCGTGGAAAAAGGGTGAAAACAAGACTAAGGAAACCAACTCAGTGGTTCGCATCATTGAAATGAGGACGATCTTGAACAGATAGATAAGTCGGATTTTAGATCATCCTTCACTCCAAGAGCTGCTTCTTTTGAGTCAGGGTCGCATAAATTCTGTAAATGGTTGCTTTGCTCAGAAAGCTTCCTCACAATGCCGTTCAACACTGGAGGTACATTTCGATTGAAATTTTCCCAGCTTTTCCGATGTTTTTGAAAAATATTTTTGGCTTCTTCCACTTTCGTACGCATCAGGATACTGTATTTTGAAAATGCAAGAGAAAATATTCACGAATGACGCTTGAATCAGAGGACTATCATATCCTGAGTGTCTATGGTTTAACGTCGAGGGGTCTAACAAAATTACTTCGAATATAAATTGAAATGGCATATGATTGAGCTGGAAAAAAGTTTTTCAGCAGGAACGTACTTCGAGCAAGGAAATGAATTAGCCCACAAAGAGGGACTGGTGAAGAGTCGATGTTCCCTCCAGAAATTTTGGCAGACTGATTTTTTTTAGGGGATGAGGATTATTCCGCCACTTTAAAATGGTGGGAACTTCCACAAGAATTCTGTCCCTTATATATATTTTGCTTGGTATACAGTATTTGCATCAAGGACTCCATTTTACTGAGACCACTGAATTTTGTAAATTCCTCCAGGTGGGGAGGGGATTCTTTTGCCAGGAAACGAGGGGTGTTGGAAGGCAAGTTAAATACAGTATTTTCTATTCAGCCCCCCTTGGGGTTGGGGGGGGGGGGGATTGACTTCGGCTCTTGGGACATCATCAGACACGATTGTAAAACAATTTTACATCAGTAAACAGGGGTCATTTTACCGGGGATTTTCCACCAGTGTCACTTCTCAACAACTTTATTAGTGCCATGGATGTTTTGACGACTTGTTTTGGTGCGCCAATGTCTGTTAATTTGCTGTTCCTTGAGTGAAATTGATCTCGTGGAAAAAGGGTGAAAACAAGACACTAAAGTGTATGGGTATAAAATAAGTAATTCTTTGCACTTCCTTGGGGTTTCCCATTGCTTTACCCCTTGCATGCTGATGGTTCCGTGCTGATGCTGAACAGCAAGCTCTATTCATTGCGTGCAGGTCGTACATCCATCCTGGACACCTCAGAGCTGGGAACATCCAAATTTTCTGCTGTGCAAAATAAAGGAGAAAAAATGTACCGAGTTATATTCGCGAAATTTATGAAGACTTCTTGGCCCTGTGATCAACTGGTAATTTGGATCCGCGATTATAGTTCAGAGTGTGAAAGCTCTCCTGGCGTGATTTAATGTTCCTGTGACTGCTTATTTTGATGGTGTGAATGTCGACAATATTCGCCTGCTTTTGCAATAATTTAGTTCCATGCTGGAGCGAGAGACCTTTCAGCGTTGGTTAAGATGATTTAGATTGGTAAAGGTGCAGTGAGTGACATTTTGTTTCCTGAGTGTGTTTGTTTTTGAATAATTTTCAACAAACTGATGAGATCGTGAAAAATAGCTCATGTACCTGTGAGCTTCCTCGCAATCCCTTTCATTCTCTTCAGGGAACATTTAACTGGTATATGATTCAATTTGTAAAGACAACTTGATGAAAATGAAATATGGTATCTGGTACTGTGAAAACCCACTTTGTGAAAATAATAGTGGCCACTACTTTTTGGAAATCTTTGTAATCATTCTTGGAGTAAATTTTAACAGCTGTAATTTTTAAATTTTCTCTAGACAAAAATGTAATGCAAAATTTAACTCGTCATAGATCAAATATGTATCTCAACTGATGAAACATGGAATTTGGTATCAGCAAAGTCACTGAAGCCTGTAAAATTGGAATACAGTTGAATCTTGTTGCGTCGTTTCTTGTGTTTTTAAAATCTGTAAATATCCGTCTTTAATCAAATGTTATTCGCGAAATAAAGATTTGACAAGCATTTGTTGTACTGAAAAGTATCTTTACTTAGGTTCACTGAAAGGTGATTTTACGGAAAATAAGACTGTGTTGGACAAATATTTTGAAAAACATTATTGCTATGATCTTCAGGGATCCTGAAGAATATTTTTGAAGCAATAAATTTCAGGAGGCCGGGTTTTTGTAGCAAAATGTTGATATATCAAGATGATCTGCAATTGATAATGTCTCATTCCTATCATGTATCAAGAAGTTTGTTGAAGATAAACATCAATGAAATTAGAGCTATGCTTCGGATTTAGATTTAATGAATGAGCCTTAAGACACTTGATTAGAATATACTGTAGTCGTGGTGCTTATCTTAGAAAATGGAAACATTTTCTAAATTTTGAAGTACTATACGTTTGGTTTTTTGAAGTACCAGACCCAAGGTCATTTTCGGATTGTGCTCATGAAGTGGTCCCTATATAAACATTGAATCAAACGAGTTCAAAATACCCTTGAGGGCATTTAGGGGAATGCGGAAAAGCTCACA